AAAATCCGGTCTTTTTTAATTACACACTTAACGTGCACGTTAACCATGGTTTTACTCACGTGCTTATAGTACCGTTTTGGATTTAGGGATGATTTAGTGAATAAAGCAATATTTTTTATTTGAGACGAAGAATTTATATAGTAAATATTATGTAAAACCTTATATTAGAGAATTTAGGTAATTTTACATTTAAAAGTGATATTAGAACGGTCATATTCCGCAATATGAGAAAGAAAGTTTTAAGACGGTTATTTTCTTACTTCTTAGCATAAATAGTTTTTTTTTTTAAATTTTAAAGCCATTTTTGTGTAAAAAATAAAATAATTGTGTAGTATGAAAAACATTTAGTTTTTTATTTTAAAAATATTTTAATTTTAGCCAATCAATTATTAGGTATTTAAAACTTTAATACAAAAATAATCACCTTTAAACTTTGTGCTGTATTTAAGCTTTATAATCCTCTATATTCTGAAAACAGTATTCTACTGAAGCAACATGTTTTTTGTATATTAAGCCAGCTGTTTGATAGCATAAATTTAAGCTTGTAAGTTGGTATTTCTAAAAGCAAAACAATATTTTGGAAAGTTTTAAGTGCACTTTATTGCCTTTCATGTATTTAATTTTGATTTTATTGTAAGTGGCAAAATATTGACCGCACATGCAGGTTCTGCTTCGACATTTATCAAAGTTATTAGTTAGCACTAAGTACTAAAAAGCAACTGTATAAAGGAAAACATTTTAAAGCTAATAGAAACCACAACCACAACAGAAATATAAATTTTATATGGATAATATAATATATTAATACATCAAGCATAATTATTATTTTTACAAAATAAACCTTCAATGTTTTGTTATTTTTCTCATTTTAAAAATAAGTATATTCAGGTAAAAACCGAATGAATGGGCATTTTTTTGTCCTTTTTTTTAAATTTTGTTTTGAATACATTATTTCAAACAGTTATTTAAAACGATTTAATTTAATTTAATTACAAGCAATGGCAAAGTTGGGGACTTTCATTGGCAGGACTTCACAGAGTAATTTATGCTATTTTTTGTTGCTTTTTTTACGAAGTGTATATGTACAGAGGCGCCTCTGTAGATAAAGTTACGGTTATATACAGAGACGCGTTGACTTGTATTAAGTACACTATAGTGTTATATGGTTTAAATTCATTTTATTTTCAAACATTAGGTACCATATATTTGAAATGCTAGCGTCTAGAGGCACCGAATTATCTTGGCTCCCTGGCTCCTAGACATGCGCGTTTTATAGAAATGTACTCAAACTCAACAACACAACCCAACCGACCCCGCCCCATTGGGCCCCCCCGCCCCATTGAGCAAAAAACCCAACTAAAATGGGATAATTTATGTAATTAAAAAGTGTTTTATTTTTATCGTAACATAAATTTGCCCATTTTAGTTGGGTTTTTTGCTCAATGGGGTGGGGGGGGGATCAATGGGGCGGGGTCGGTTTGGTTGTGTTGTTGAGTTTGAGTACATTTCTATAAAACGCGCATCTCTAGGAGCCAGGGAGCCAAGATAATTCGGTGCCTCTAGACGCTAGTTAATCTGCCTCTGTACATAACCGTAACTTTATCTACAGAGGCGCCTCTGTACGTATACACTTCGCTTTTTTACTTTTTTTATTCGTTTAATTAGAAGGATTTTCTCAATTATTGACTCTGTTTCAAGAAGACCCAATACAGGAGGAGTAGGTGGGGACGCGCAAAATGTTCTTGTTCGCACACTCTGTGTCTTTGTAAATTACCCAGCCATCATTGAATGATGGTAATTATCTATAGGTAGGCATAAACCAGTAAAATTTAAAATGTTTAATAAAATCAATATATTTTTAAGAAATTTGAAAAAGGACAACTTTTGTGATATGTTAAAAAAATAGAAATTGGAAACAGCACTGCTATGGGGAACTTCTTGTCCCCCCCTTTTAGCCGATCCTTTCATAAGCAGTTTTAGGAAAGAACGTAGTAGGTCAGGCTATTTTCTGAGGATTTGGTTGAGATACGTGCTTTGCTATTTTCGATCAAAACGCTTGCAGCTTAGATGATTTTGTTTCCAAATTGAATAATTGTATTCCATCTATTTCTAGCTACCATTTTTTAGATAGTCTAGTGATTAGATCTAACAATACTCTAGAGTTCGATATCTACAGAAAACCTACAAGCACTGCACGTTACATGACTTCAGACTCAAACCACTGCACACAACATAAGCAGGCTAGTTTTAACCTTCTTGTTCGTTGGTTAAAAACTTTCCACTTACAGTATTAGTAACAGTAGCTACAAGAAAGAGATCAGTTTTATAATAGAAATTGCTAGACAATGATGAACCCATCCTAGTAGATAAGTTAGTAAATAAAATTAAATTTAAGTCTCGTCTTTCTAGGTTAACAAATTTTTGAACAGAGCTAACAGAACCCACAAAAGTCAAATTTATAACTATTCCTTTCGAACCCCAGTACACCCGAGGTCTGAAAGGGATTTTTAGAAAACTAGACTTTAATTTGCTTTTACTTCAAGCATTAACACACTTTAGAACCTTTTAGGCAACCCCAAAAAAAGGATTTCTAAAATTGAAATGTCGGGGATCTACGAAATAAATTACCAAAATTGTGACAAGAAATATGTTGGACAAACTAAACAATCAATCCAAGTAAGGTTTAAAGAGCATTTGGCTTAAACTTATTAAGGAAGTTAGGGAACCAAGTCTGCTAGATAGTAATAAAAATAGAAATAAATCTTTAAATAGCGATAAGGGACCGGTACCCAACTAGTTTGCATGAATTAGTTTGTTAGTTTCTCTTTATGTGTTCAATGAAGCGATTATGGTCCACGGTTTAGTAAACTGTGTTCGTTCACGGTTCAGTCAACCTTAGCTTATAATTAGTATAAATATGGTAGATTTAGCGTTTTCATTTAGTTACACTTCGCTTCTGAAGATGCCAACATCGTTGGCGAAAAGCACTTTGTTTTGTTTTGGTGGGGAATATTTCTAATATTTATTTTACTTTTATTTTATTATTTTAATGTGCTTCCAACAGGCACCAGGCCCAATTACAGGAGTACATTCATAAGAAAACTAACCCCAAAACCCGTTGCACCTTACAAACTTCCTTGGTCTCTGATTAGCGTTTTTGTCTTTCTTTCCAATCTAAACTTGTAAATTAATTTAAATGCTCTTTTAAAATGATTAGCACAGCAACGTTTCAGCACTTGACAAGGCAAGTCGAATTGTAGCAGGGAGAGCTCTTAAAACGTAAAAAATTAAAACCAACAAATAATTTTTCAAAAGTGAAAACAAATTATAGGGAAAAAACTACAGTAAGTATAGACTATCCTACGGTCAAGAATGAGTTAAGAGTTAAGTGATAAGAAAGAGTTAAGTGACAAGTGAGCTTCTGGGCGGACACACCACCCCTTAACTGGATGCATTTCACCACAGACCACCAAAACAAATGGACGGATTTGTTTACGTTTAAAAAGCGAGTAAAGGATAGTTTCACATTCTAAACACCGTCGAAAGAAACACGGCTTCCAACGTTGTCAGAATTATAGATTACACGCATTTTTGGACGTTCATCATTACATAATAAACATTAATAATTACCAGTAATTCGTTTGAATAATAAAAAAATTGTAAAAAGGATTTGTTTATCATTTTCTTTAGATATTTTTCTCTATTTAAAGAAAGTAAATCATTTAATAATTATTAAAATTAAATATTAACAACGTTGGTAAATTCGTCATATTTGAGAGCATAGAAAAAGGTTATGTTCTGTGGGTTGACAGCCTGTTGTTTTGTGTTTTTGTTTGTGTATTTCTATCGTATTTAAGTTAATTATGGAGTTTAAATACATTATTTTTTACTAAAAATAACAATACATAGAAATATCGTTTGTAAGTACCTACCTACTTATTATTTTTTTAATCCCAATACGTCACTGTAAGAAAACATAAAATTCTATCGCCAATTTAACGCTTAGACTGTGACCGTTTGTTGACGTCACTGGAAGAAAACATAAAATTCTATCTCCAATTTGACGCTTAGAATGTGACCGTTTGTTGACCGCAAAACAAAGCATTGTTATTGAATGGCAATGCGCCGTCCATTTGTTTTGGTGGTCTGTGCATTTCACTGGACAAACAAAAGAGGACAAAACCAACGAACAATTTTCATAAAGTGCAAACTAATATAGTGTAACGGTTAATAAAGAGTGCATTTCACTGGACAAACAAAAGAGGACAAAACCAACGAACAATTTTCATAAAGTGCAAACTAATATAGTGTAACGGTTAATAAAGAGTAAAGTGTTAAGTGATAAGAAAGAGTTAAGTGACAAGTTTCAGGTTCCGGGTGGTCCTACCACCTGTCATTGGACGCATTTCACTAGACAAACAAAAGGGGTCAAACAAGAGGGAAAGAGGCCATTCGCAAAAATTGATAAGTATCCTCAAGCATATGCATGACCTAACACATAATTTGCAAAATTAAAACACGACAGATACATTTAAAACCCTAAGAAAGGCACACTTCTTAAACTCTAGAAAAAAACAATAAACATCAGTAAAAATAGAAACATTAGAATGAATATACTAACCAAACACCATAAAATAATAAAGAAAAAAGACAAACAACAAAACTTCCCATTCGAACCTATCGCGGTGATACACCAAAGCAAAGGCATGAAACCCAGTAACTTAAAGAACGGCTCTAACAAAACAATGTTAATTTTAACCCAATAAAACACTTAATAAATCACTCAATAAATCATGAAAACCCAAACATAGTAAAAACTAATCAAACTCTATTGGATTTGTAAAAACATTAGATTATAACAGAATAATTGCGCTTGCCATTTGTTTAACTAATAAATAAATGCAATACTTAATTTTGGAAATTAAGAAAAAAAGAGAAAACAATTCTACCACAAAACGTGCTTGGTTATACGTCTCTTATACTTATACTCATACTGAAAAGGGTTAGTTTTGTTTATTATTTATACCTACATAACACTAAAAGCTTTTGTTGTTTTTTATTTTTGAAATTTTTCTTGTATTTCTCTCCTGATTGTTTCACGTAATTTCTCTCTATGTTCATATCGCTTAGATTGCTTATCTTTTCTTATGGACTTCATTTTCTCTAAATCCTCCTCGTAAAAATATGAATCTTCACTTTTCGTTTGTTGCTGTTCTAAATATTTACTTTTATACTGGTCCTCTAAAATCATTATTTTGTGATTTTTTTTATATAGCCCTTTAATATTAAACCTTTCGATGGTTCCTTTTTTTTATCCCATGATAACAATCTATCACTGCTTGGGCTTATATTTTTATTTGAAAATATACGCAAATTCACATATTTTTTTAACATTTATGTTACAAACTGACAATTTAAATTATGACAAATATGGCAAAAATTATGCTTTTTTATTAATATTTGACATTTGACAAATTTGAATTCGGTGGCCTGAAATTTACGAATCATTTAATTAAATTAAACCATGGTTGTGAACCGTAACAAAATTTCGGTCCATGGACCTAGCGGTTCAGTTCTAAAAAGGGTCCATGTAACCGGACCGTTTGTGGAACGTTTGTGTTGGACCCCTACACCTTGGTTTGGTCTAGGGTTGGACCGGTCCAGCAAAAAAAGGTTCGACTGGACCGGACCATTGTGGAACATTGACAGTGTGGACCGCCAAAAACGGTCCATGAACCGGTCCAAGTTTTTTCATTGGGAAATTATGTTGAAGTTATAAAGAAATGCTAATAATCTTAATATTTTTTAATTTTTTATTATTAAATTTATTATTAGATTTATTAATGGCCACTTGCACTGTTTTCTCTAACTGATCAGTTAAATAAACTGCCAAGTTAAAAGGTATCAGGGGATTAGTGTCCAAAATCTTGCACCGTGATTTTTTCACTATGGTTTAAATTTAACTAAGAGAGAATAATATGGATACAGAACCTGAAAAAAAGAGGGCTCGCTCCTCAAATTTTTCAGAAAATGAAAAAAATCATTTAATTAATCTTGTGGATACAAGGGTATCATTGAAAACAAAGAGACAGATAGGGCTAAAACAATTAGAGCAGGAAATTAACAATAAAAAGGATGAAAAAGAAATGACTCTTACGGATTTAAAAAGTTTAGAAGAAAATGAAAAACTTAATATATTATAATAATAAACAAGAAGTGATTATTTATTTTATTTTAATTTTAAATAAGTATAAATTAAATAAAACATCAAAAATATTATTCACATTAAATTTTATAAATCCGCAAAATAATCTTGTATTAATTGATTTTGAAACATAATGCGATCTTGTGGATGAGTAACAACAGGGTACTCCAGTTCATGGCATTATCAAATTATTCCCAATATTGCCGAACCGTTAAACTTTAGCTGCTAAAGTATTATAATTATGGCGATAAATTTGAATATGTAGTGCCACTATAGTAGTGGTTATGTTAACTTAACACAGATGCCGAGTACAAAAAGTACTCGAGTACAACAAAAGTACTCGAGTACATCAAATGTACTCGAGTACAAAAAATGTACTCGAGTAGGTACAACCAATGTAGGTACTCATGTCCATTTTTACATTTTTAAATTAAATAAGTACAAGTACAAGTACTTTTTTTTAAATGTACTCTGGACTGAGTACCGAGTACATAAAAAGTATTTAAAGTACAAAATTTGAGTACAAGTACTCGAGTACCGCACAGCTCTGGATATGACCTACAGAGAATTTATGCAAATATTCCATTCGTAACAATATATTAAAAAAAAAATTAAGGGGTGGCTCACAAATTTTGACTCCAAACTCCAAAAAAATGTCAAAGTTTGAGTTTTTGTTTATTTTTTTTTGCTCGCTACGGTAAATTTTTGTAATTATATTTTTTAACAAATTCGTATTTTTTATCCAGGTGTCCAAAAAAATGTGTTTTTGAAAATTTCAAATTGAAATTACTTTTTTCTTTGATATTAACCCTCCGCCGGGAAGCCGGCGGCAAAAAGCCGCAAATTTACATTTTACTCTTAAAACTCAAATATGGTCAGCTCTGTAATATTGTGCGTCTATGTATTCCTTGTTTATGTTATTGCCTTCACCAGGTTCACTACTAAAAGTCTTGGTGCAAAAGGCATTTCCGGTCAGTTGTTACAGCCGAATTAGCGGTGTGTTTGCCGCAGCGCGCCCAGTCATGTTATTTTTATTTATTAATAAACTTTTCATAATTATCAATTTTATGAAAAATTTCGTAATGAATAAAACTTGATATTAAATATTGTGTAATGTGCATTTTACATGCATGTGTACGGGCATTATTGTGTATGCTAACACACATGCAGTTCACGTAAAGGATTAACACCCGATGAGTTAACAAAAATTTCGTAATGAATAAAACTTGATATTAAATATTGTGTAATGTGCATTTTACATGCATGTGTACGGGCATTATTGTGTATGCTAACACACATGCAGTTCACGTAAAGGATTAACACCCGATGAGTTAACAAATATATTTGTTTAAATTGTTTTTTAAATTTAATTAGGCATGTTATGTCTTACTTTAGTACACAATTTTTTTTTTTTGTTAGATGTAAGCTAGAAACTTAAAGAACCAAATGCGGTGTAAATGCCGCAGCGCGCCCGCTCATGTAATTCCCAAAAGCGCGCCCGCCGAGGGTTAAAAGGCAAGCTTTAAAGCTGTTTTAACAACTTTTACTATTTAACTTTATACTATTCAACTTATTTCAACTCGAAACTTCATAGCACACTTTTTTCCGTCAAATTTACGGCCCCTTTACATTAGCTCTTGGAATTAATAAAGAAATATGCAACTTTTTGGATTTAAAGTGCAGTTATTACGGTCGTAAAACTTATCAAGATTACGTATGTAAAATTTCAGTGTCATTCGATGCATACTCGCGAGTTTAATATAAAAATAATTGAGTTTAGTACCACAAAAAAATATGTTTTTTTTTTATTGAAAACAATCTTGCCAGAAGCAAACAAATATGCTTTCTGAGTGAGATATTATTACACAATTTTATAGAAACCAATCGTTAAACCCCTGCAGTAAAAATAAAACTCGTGCCTTTTATTTTTCTAAAATACTTCTGATTTAGATATTCAAAAGCTTCCTGATTAATGATTGAATATTTAAATTAAAGTCATAGAAAAATATAGTAATCATTTTATTTTCTATACCTAGAAATTAACTAATTATTTTAAATTTGTTCGCAATATATTCTATATATCAATGTACTCGTAATTAGTGCTTTTTTATATAAAAAACGGCGTATTTTTAAAAGGTAATAATTTACCTTTAAAACGACCATTATCGTACATATTTCCATGACACTAAGTGACCTGTTAAATACACATTGAGTTGTGGCTTTATGACGTTTTAGTGGCGGGCTGAATTTAGTATTAATTTAGTTGACAGTTGTCAAATGTAATACAATCGTTAAAATAAAGTACCTTTCTTGTATAATAATTGTTGGAGTTTATTTAATGACTTCAATAGGTGTTTGCGTAATTATGTGAATGGTCAATAAAAAGCACAATTGTATTTAAGAACGAGATAACTAAGTAGGTACACTTTATTGATAAGTAGGTAACAAATAACTTTTAGAGATAAATACAAATAACATCTGTGACGACTATATTTCGCTGAGGGTGGTTTCGGACTGACTCTGCCTCGTAGTATATTTTAAAGTCAAGGGTACGAATGCCGTAAATGTTTCACTCGCTTGCCATGTGGTTTATTTCCTATTTTATAAACGTTGACTATTGTTGTTGCACAATATTCCAACACCCTTCCTCAACAATAATAATCCTATTTTTTGATTAAAAAAGATTGCACGCCTTTCGCATCGCTTCCAACTTCAGAGTGCTTAGCGGTTTTGTAAACATGTCGGCTAACATGTATTCTGTAGCACAATATTCAAAACACATTAAATTCTGTTTCTTTAGGTCCTTTAAAAAATGATATTTTGTATCAATGTGTTTCGTTCTGTTGCTGAATTTTGAATTACTTATGTATTTCAAACAACTTTGGTTATCTTCGTACATAATGGTAGCTTGATCCTGATTTTGACCGAAGTCTCCCAATAGTCGGCGGATCCAAACCCCTTCTTGACAAGCTTCTGCCAGCGCAATGTATTCAGCTTCCATTGTTGACAGGGCGATACAATTTTGTTTTTTGCATCCCCAACTTATTGGACTTCCATTAAATTTAAACAAATGCCCACTATTTGACTTTCTGTTTTCATTGCTTTGTGCCCAATCTGCGTCACTGTAACCATACAGGTGTTTATTTGGGTCATCCTTATTACCCAGTTTTAAAGTCAGTTCTTTAGTGCCTTTCAGGTACCGAGCGACCCTCTTTGCTTCCACCCAGTCGGGGTCGGTCGGTGATTTATTGTATTGGCTTAAAATACAAACACTTGCCGTAATGTCTGGCCTCGTATTTACCGATATGTAAAGCAATGCTCCAATTAATTGCTGATATTTTTCGCCATCCTTCATCGCTTCCTGTTCCTTAATCCTGGATTTATTGTACTGTGGGTCCAATGGATAATTCGAGGTTTTTGCGTCTTGTAACCCGAAACGAACTAATAATTTACATATATAGTGCGTTTGATTAATCCGATAAAAACCATCATCATCCTTGTTCACTTGTATCCCAAGATAGTGCTTTAGCTCCCCTAAATCCATCAGAGCAAAATGATTTTTAAAAAATTCTGCTGTCTGCTTTACTAGCCTTTTATCACTACTTGCAATTAAAAAATCATCTACGTAAACGACAATGTAAATGACTTTCCCTTCCTCGGTTTTAATATACAAGCATGGGTCTGCTTGACTTTGGTTGAATTGGTGGCCTTTTAAAACAATGTTCAATTCATCATTCCAGGCTTTTGCTGCCTGTTTTAACCCGTAAATGCTTTTGTTTAATTTACACACCATTTCTTCTTTGTCAGGCTCTAAATAACCTTCAGGTTGTCGCATAAAAATTGTTTCTTTAAGCACCCCGTTCAAAAAAGCTGTTTTTGCATCATAATGTGCAATAAAGAGTCCCTCTTTACCTGCTATGGTCAGTAGCAGCCGAAATGTCGTGTGCCTTACAACTGGGGCAAATATTTCGTCGTAATCAACTCCATATTTCTGGGAAAACCCTCGTGCCACTAACCTTGCCTTGTACTTATTTATGCTCCCTGCTGCGTCCCGCTTCGTTTTGAACACCCATTTACAACTGATTATGTCCCGACCTTCCGGCTTCTGTACAAGCTCCCAGGTATTATTTGACAATAACGAATTAATTTCTTCGTCCATTGCCGCCCCCCATTCCTTTGAATTTGGTCCAGAAAGTGCCTCCTTCCTGTTCTTTG